CGGCATACGCATTCATGCGGCGTGCCGTCTCTCGCGACTTGATGTAGCCCCATACCATAGGCGCCATGTCGCGCTCGTCGTTCATGAAGCCGGGGTCGAAGTCCGGGCTCTCGTAGGGGTCAGCTGACTGGATGTGCGTGAAGCCTCGAGAGAACGGATACTCCAGGAAGTGGAACATTGTGAAGAAGTTTCCAGGCGGCCTAATATGTTATAAGTCAAGAACTTTAGCGAATTATGTCACAGGCAACGCTTACATGAGCATGTGGTCGCCGAACCAGCCGGCGATGATGGAATAGTGCATCACGGGCTTGTCGGGCTTGTCCTTGAAGTACGACTTCCAACCATCATTGAAGTGTGGTGTGGGCCAAGATTCGAACTGCTTGAGCTCTTCCTCGGTCGGGCGGATTTTCACGCCGGCGTCAATGCCGTTGGTGGCGAGCGGCCCAGTTCCCTTTAATGCCCACTCGTCGTACACCCCTGGAAATCGGTTAGAAATAGAATATCCGTGAAATTGGTAAATCCGACAGCGCTTACTCTTCTGAACTTCTGGTACGCCGCGTACGAAGTCGTCGAAACTCTCGGTTTCGGGCTTGGCACGATATGTGGCGAAGGTCAGGTAATGGTCCTGGAAGTTGAGACCTACGCCGGGGAGATCGACGATAGGCTCGACGCCAGCCTTCTTGAGTTTCTCGGGGTCACCTAAGAAGTGTTAGTGATGAGAGATGCACCCTCTAACTCGATACACGTACCGATGCCAGATCGCTGAAGGATCAGCGGGGAAGAAAGGGTGCCTCCAGATACGACAATCTGCTTTCGTGCCTTGAAAGTACGAGTCTTCAGCTGATTGGGGTGAAGTGGCTTAGTCGGTCTCGAGACAGGTTAGCTTTTCGGATCATCGTTCACATTCAGAAGTTAATTCGGACTTACACCGTCTGAACCGCTACTGCTCTGCCGTTCTCCATGATGATCTTGTCTACCTTGGTGTTGCAAGCAAGGTACAGGTTGTCATGGACGGCACGGGTTGAGTGGACATATGCGTGAGCACTGTCACTTCGCCGACCAGTCTACAGCCATTGAATGGTTAGCTATGGACGTGAAGCTATGCGAGGGTGAAGAGACATACATCACGGTTAATCCACTTTAGCCAGTGTTCGGCGCCATGGCCTGTGCTGAGGTCTTGCAGGTCATCGACGGTAGGAATATCTTGAGATTCTGCTGCTCTCAAGAAGTCTTCCTTGACGGGATATGTGCTTGGTGGCAGTTAGTGATATGTTGATGATGAAATAAACTACAACGTTCGACTTACTAATTTCCGAACGAAACCTTGATGGGTCCCTCGAATCCGTGGAGATCCCTTTGCTGGTTAGTGCTTTTCTCAACTCTGAATTTGGTAAACTAACTTGTTGTGGCAGGCTCGTTGATACGTCTCGTGCTTCTTCATGAGCGGCAGGAGATCCTTGGTTTTCCACCCCTCGGCTTGGAAGTCGTCATAGTCCGAGGCAGAAGCACGGGTGTACATCTGCAGAGCATGAGCCTAACCGTATTTTGGCCTCTTGGCTTCCTTTGCTTACCAAGAAGTTGATGCTAGAGCCACCCCCTAAGATGTGGGCACAAGGAACCACTGCCTTTCTACCCGAGAGCCACTTCGATGGGCGAGACTCGTAGAAGGATGCCGTCTTCGAGTCCAGCTTCATGTTACGGGGGTAAACCCCCGGCCTGAAGACCCATGGGTTGTTGAGGTTGCTCTCGCCAGCTTCAATAAGAAGAACCTTGAGATTGTGGTCCAGGTTTGCCAGTCTACACAATGTCAGCATGAGATCTTCTCATGGACGTGGTGATGTTTAAGAGTTGTTGAAGAGTGGCAACGTACCGGCCAGCCACGACACATCCGCAGCTACCACCGCCACACACGATAATATCGAACTCTTCAGGTAAAGGACTCATGTCTTCTTGTTGTTTTTCCCATCCAAAAAGCTTGGAGAACATGTTGTGAAACTACTTGGGAGGGTGCAGGTTGCCTACTTATCCTTCATCGAAGACTAGGCCGGCAGGATCTACAAATATATGAGAGTCTATGAACTGTAGACTCCTGCAGCACCTCCTCATCGAATACCTTGTACGAATAAAGCCGCCACTAGTCAGTGTTCCTAGTATCGAAATTGGCTTATGCATATCGAATTCTACTGCTGGCTCCATCCTTGTCGACAACCCCTCTCCCGGTAACTATATCGATACACTTGCCAACTCAGAGTCGAAGTCATCTGATATCTCCTAATGCAACATCTTTGCATCTGTGCCACACCTTTCCAGAGATGCTTTGGGAATAGGATGGGAGGGTCATCCCTGGATAATACTGACCGGCAGGACTGGGAAATCTAACCAGAGTTAGAGTTACCTGGCTCGGCCCCTATTCGAACCGCCTTGCTTTGATTATTAGGTTAAGTTCATCTTATCCACGTCACCATCTTGGCTACCCTTACGGTATCACGAACCATCGATATCGTAGACATACCTGTACACGATGAGATCTCTACCCGATAGGTAGAAGAGGGCGAGAGCAGCAGTGATGTCGCTTAGCAAACGGCATCTCGGTGCGGCTCGGAAAGTTCGCCTTCACAGCCTTGTGGTTATCCTACCCCTGCCGTTCTGTTCTCTTAGGTAACTTTGCATATGCCTACAAGTCTAAACCGCCACTAGTGTATGCAGCTCGTATGCGCGCCGGATGACAGAATGCGGGGTGGAGGCTATGTGAGGTCAAATACCCGTCACTCTATATGCGGCCCATGCTTCCCCGCAGTTCTCCGGGTGGGTATGATGGTTCGTTTATTTCGTTGGGTCTATCCAAAGACAGCACTTTGCATAAGGAGCTTGGACCAATGGTTGTCATGCCGTACCTTAGCACCCAACGTTGGCACTATAGTTGGTCGAATCTTTCGTGTTGGAGGTCTTGGTAGCTTCCTGGCATCAGCTAGGTAGGCCAGATTCCTGTCAGCTTCTCTCGTTTATAGCCGTACTTTCGAGAGGAGAATAGGAGAGTATGGAGTACATTAAGGGATGCCGGCAATCCGATCGTCAATGTCCTATGACACGGCCCTGTTATAAATCATAACAGCCGGGAAACGATTCTATATGCCACTATACCATAGACGATCGTCGGTGGACCATCTGGACTTAAGCTTCTTGGATATCACGATGCTGAACTGCCGATGAAACCGTCACTGAACGATCCTGCTCGTGCAACTTGAGACGCGGATTGATCTTCTAGTTACATCCAAGCGCTGCACTACGAGGGGAAATTTGGAGAAAATCACATCTCATCCTGCAACGAGCAACCCGTGATTTTTCCTTCCGGCCAATTCGACCAATGTTCCATGCACCATCTGAGTCCAAGCTCCAATATCAAATCCTAGCCAGAGTCGTACGCACCTGGGATACCTTGTCTGGCGCTATACGGCGACCCTATGAGAGGGGTTGCCAATTAGGATCGAGTCGAGCTGTTCCGTTGCTTATACCCACGGACCATCGTCGGGGTGAACACGCTAGCTCACTAATATGTGATATTCGTGCCTTCACTTCCTCTAGTCCCCCTTCCTTTGCCTGCCGTGTAGAACGAGGACTCTTAGTGAGTTCCTCATAGTAATGGGTAAGTTGACGCCTCGAATTTCTGTGTTTACAATAGGAGCAATGCTTTTTCCACTACGATTCTTACTTTACGTACAGTCGCGATGCCTGTGCCATGAAACCGGCATATCCATGCTATGTATTCGCTGGCCATAGCTTTAAGGGGCACATTTTATTACAGCCACCTGCGAGACATCGAAAGGAGAGTAGCGTACATGCATGCTCGGATAACCAATTAGAGTACTATGGAACAATTGGCCCCCACGTTGAGCTGAATGTCTGGCCCGTCTAACAACTCTGGCAGTCGTGGTGGTCGATGTAGTCGCGCCTCGAGCTTATGGATGGGGTTTTATAGGCTCAGTAAGCGGTGATCGCCGATTATAGCAGTTCTATCAAACCCCCAGATCCATGCGTGGCCAGTGGTCTTTCTCCTATCCGGTTGCTAATGCCTTAGTTATATTCTTTCGGTTTGGGAAAGGTGATATATACTACATCGGGTTATAAACAGTATGCAGCTGGCTGTACGGTGACATAATGTCTTGGAGGTCATGCAACTGCCGTTACACCTGGTTTCGATCTCTCAACCCGAAGCTAACCCATGAGACAGGATCGGCTACGTGTTACACCAAGTATCGGTCCTCATCCCGGCGATGTATCATGTCAGATTGCCATGGGTCTCTCTCGGCACCCAATGCTATCACGAATAGGCTATGCAAGCCCGCCTTACTAGTCGCAGACATGTACGTTCATGTAGGAGAAAGCTCGGCATATGACGGCACCTGTTATTCTCGAAGTAGTTTGCTTGTTGCCCTTCGTCAATGGAAGGGAATGTGCTTTCCCAGTATCATGCGTACCTAGGTATGTTATACAGTTGGGTGAAGGTAGCTATTCCGGAGACTAGTAGGATGGGGAACTCACAGCGGTCTACCCCTTTTCCACAAGTTAGAAAGACTCGCGTACTGAAGAATAGTTCCAATGAGCTATACCGAACTACGATAGTATTAAAGAAATATAGTATGACCATCACGTATGAGTTATCATCTAAAGCCAATAGCCTGCTAGAGTGTATATGAAAACATTGAATTTTCAAAAAGCTCTTTGCCACAAACTATCATGTTATTTCTAAACATGTTACAGGGAAAATTGTAGTTTAATTAAGTGTCGTAAGTAAATTTAGTAGCTTTCCACAGTGGCGAATGGAATATAATTGCCTTAAGAGTATTTGAGGTCTAAGACAATTGTTATAACCCTTTACAAGCACAGCTTGATACTTAGATAACGGAAATTGAAACAATCTAGAAAGTTTACAAACGTCCTATAAGAAATCACATTGCGAAGATTTTTACAAGTTCTATTCTTCCAGAAGCTCACAACGTATGGCCCGACTAACTCATCGGTGAGCGCCTCTAATTAGCAATTCTGAAATCAAATTCAAACAAGGAGGCAACAGGTTCGATTCCTGTGTTGGGCATATCTTTTTTATCTTGTCTATCCTGATAAAAATAACTCCTGGTGTTAGTTTGCAAGTACCGTTAACCTAAGGTTGATTCCTGATCTAACTCTTCATTGTGTCAGTTGTAGGTACATGGATTGCTAGAAAAGAAAGGAAAGAATAAAAAGGACTGAAAGGACTGGGGAGGAAACAAAGAAGGATATATAAGTTAAAGAAGTTAGCTAATCCCATGTTGCAATGATAGCGCCTCCTTCTCCATCTCTCCCGCAATGGTCCACGCTTCATACTTCACGCCAGGAGGCCCATTCGTGTTTTCAAACGGTGACCCTGTCGTAAGATGGGCCTCCACAGCAGCATAATTGTCCATTGCGTATTTGGCAGGATTTTGCTTCCAAATCCACCCAGGTAGGCTCATTGTGATCAGTTCTGGTTTTGCTTCTGCTGCATCTAGGTCGATGTGATGCATAAGCTGTCTATTGGCGAAGCCGCCTTTTTGCAGTGCTGATACGCGCTCGAAGCGGAGTTTGTTATGGACTTTTGTTGAGATATACTCTTTTCCTTTCCCCCCAATGCGAAGGCAACTTGCGAGAGAGATAGCATCCTCGATCGCTTGAGTGGCTCCGTTACCCGACGTGGGTAAAAAGGAGTGAGCACTATCGCCTAGCTGGACTACACGCCCTCCATCCGAAGCCCATTGAGGCTGTGGATCACGCCAACGAAGGGTCCAATCGATACAGCTCTTCTCTGGAATATGCTTTAAAATTTCGATCACGTCTGGGTCCCAACCAGGGGTTTCTTCAAGCTTATTCAAGACAGCGTCGGCTGAAACAGTGGCCTTCCATGATTCTCTACCACTAGTAGTCTCCTGAATTATAATCAGTGTCGTTCCGCAAAGCCATTTTGAGAGAACGTACCTTATAAGTGACTACATAGCACACGAAGTCCTTCGTGATAATGATATTTGCATGTATGTCAGGACTAGGTCTGTATTAGTTATTCGAACACTGAAGATATATTCAGCAAAACTCACGCCATGTAGATTCTGAAGTCTCCTCGCGCCGACGAAAAGAATTTCTTCTGTATGTCTGGACTCAACTTCGACCTTAAGAGATCCATCGGGATCAATCCTCGATACAAAGCGTAGCCGCAACTTTCGGCCTTAGCTTTGCTCCCGGTAACGTGGCCATGACTTGTTGTCGCAACGCCGTCGGCAGCAACAACTATATCAGCCAACTCCCTGCTAGTCGTTCCATCTGATCTCATGACGGTAACAATCGCCATCTCTTCATCTTCATCATACTCTGTCACAGTATTTCCGTACTCGATCGTAAGTCCTAGTCTCTCGCACTGCTTTGCAAGCATACCGGCGATGCTGCTCCGGGTTTCTATCCATGGGACACGGACATTACGGGCAACGTGCACACAACCGGGCTGGTTCCATTCCGCCTCACCACGGTGATCGATCAATCTCCCCTCGTATCTCCAGAAGCTAAACTCCACGTCGTATGATTCTCGTTCGAATTGTGCTTTCATTTCAGGGAAGAACCGCAGCGTCGACCAAGCCGGTGGTAAAATGCCGAGACAATCACCTTGCGTCAAAAATTTCAGCTCATAGATAATATGCAGTATAGGGGTGGCTGGCTGCCTAGTTACCTATCGAATCGAAATTCGGGCTTCGCTCAAGGATGCGAACGCTATGGCCTTGACGCCACGACTCGAGGGCCATCATCATGCCCCCAATGCCTCCGCCCACAATAAGGATGGAGATCCCAGTGGGACTAAGACGATGAACGCCGTCGACGATCTCGGGGCGTGGCGTTTCGTAAGGAGAAGCCATGATGCTATCGATGGTTCGCACGTGAGTGTAGGCTAGAGCTTATTGAAGATAATTTTATTGGAGATATTCTATTTTGAAATAGAAGGAGAATGTTGTTATTGAATTGTAGGGTCCTCGATCGTAGAGAAAGCATTATATATACATTTCTTGAGCGACCAGGGTTTCAAGGGAGATCAATCCTCGTACTTCCCACTTCCCTTACAGATGATAAAGTACGCTGACCAACACATCTCTTACTTTCATGTGAAATTTCAAATCGGTCTTTTGGGCCTATCATCTCTCCATGGCGAGAAGGTTAGAGGGTCTTTCAGCCCGCACTGGTATTAGTACGCGCGTAAGCCAAATATAACAATCCATGGTAGTAATGCCGGACATTGAAGAGCTGCTGCTGGCATTGCACCGGAATGCGGTGGACGGAGTAATTCGCCAACTTGCTGTCCAGAGTAGTCAGCAATTCTTCCATCTCGCTAATTATATCTTGGATTATGTTATGCCTACCTGGCTGGGTTCAGCTGACAGATCATATCCACGGTAAGATGATTTATTGGTCACTCCCTTGTCGCCTGAAGTTTCCCTTGCAGGCCTAAGTTTTCGGCCTACCCTTGGATCCCCAGATTCTGGGGAGCTCACGTTTTTCGGGATTTCTCGTAGTTGAAGCTAGAAGAATGAATGGTGTACTAAGTAGGCGCCAACAAAGTCGGCGACATAGCTGTGTCTAGCTACCTACCTAGGTACTTATCAATATATCTGGTTTATTTTTACGTAAAGTTCTCTTCTTTATGAAATCGACGAGGTTATAACTACTTACAATATTACTACATATGGTTGTCGATGGACTCGATCATATTTAATGAAAATCAATGGATGGTCGTTAACTTAGTGGTTACCGGAAACAAGCGTTGCTGCTTCTACTACTATTGCGGTCGACTGATGGAATATAGAACCTATCCGGCCTAATCATCTAAGAACATCATGAGTGAATATGACTTTACTACTAACCTGCCATGATAACGTTGGCTTGGCTGATAGGGGAATGTGATACAAGACATTCAGAAAGAAGGAAGGATTTGCCACTCCTCCAACCATCTGTATGGTCACAAAAAAAGGAGACCCCCACAACGATGTGGACAGAATACACAAATGATGCGTTCATGCTGACAGGGATGTTATTGAAATTGTAATTATCCTGATTTGAATACTTTGAATGAAAGGAATTTAAAAGTGAAGAACCTACCTACCTCGGCGGTAATTGCGGTAATTTGACCCATCTCATGAGAAGCAAGGGCAAGTATGTCTTTTACGTCTAAATCCCCTCACTCATGCGAGTATTGCCAAAAGATTACCATCGACCTGGGACTCGACAATAGCGCTCCACAGTTCAGCTGCGGGGTCGAGGAAATACTTGCTGCTGACCAGGCCGGCTGCCCGCTATTCCATGCCTTTGTTGAAAGTATTAAGGAGGAGGCTCGGCTAGACGAGAGTTCTGCCAATCGCTGCGACTTGAGTTTTGCTATGCGATATGAAAAAGAAGACTTGCCCGATTCTACTGCAGCACTCATTCTCTCAGTGAGCGGGACATTGGACGATGGTACGAAAAATGTTGATGTTAATGGCCAGACGAAACTGGTACTATGGACAACCGAAGGTATCATGAAATAACTCTCCCTACTAGGAGATCGCACTCACATTTATGTTCCTAGATAATGCCGCCTCGACCGATATCACTACTCGACCTTATGAGCTAGACTATGCTTCTTCCGCCAGTGTAGGGTTCGCTCGCAGCTGTATTGAATCGTGTCAGCATAATCATAAGGAATGCAGACGGTCAGCAGCTGAGACCCGTCAAGGGCCAGAAACAATTGACCCCAACTCTCTTCCTTCCCGGCTTCTGCAACTAATTAAAAAGGGCTCGGAGCTTCAAGTCAAACTCATTGGTCAAGGCTCCCCTGAAGCTATTCAAAGGGAAGAGGTATCCCAACAGGGGTTTGCAATTCTCTCATATTGTTGGGGTGGACCACAGCCGGTACACCTCACTCAAAAAAGGGTTGCCGAATTTGGAGCTGGGACTCCAATTTCACAGCTACCAACGACTCTCCGTGATGCGGCGTGGTACACTCATGAAATAGGGTTGGAATACCTGTGGATCGATGCTCTCTGCATCATTCAAGACGACGTCGAGGATAAACTCCGCGAAACGTCTCGCGTGGAGCTCTATTATAGCCAGAGCACAGTAACCCTCTGCGCCGCCTCGGCCGCTAAGTGCTCAGACGGCTTTCTCACGTCGCGCGGGGAGGATTCCACAAATCACGGCATTGGCCCTATACAATTACAAGCTAAAACATCGTCAGACGCTTCTGGCTCTATTCAAGCATTAGCTGAGTCTGAGGATCTCGACCCAAAGAGGCCACAGGAACCCATCACATTGCGGGGATGGACACTCCAAGAGGTCTTGATATCGCGACGTATTCTCATCTTCTCCTCACGTCATTTGAAGTTTACTTGTGCAGTGACAAATGCCTGCTGCACTGGACCTGAACCAATGCTGAAGCCTCGGGTCGCGACTAGCTTCGAGTCTCAGGTCGTCGGTGTAGATATTCTCTCCGACTTAGGGGATTGCCCCGCTAGAAATGTGTGGGATACCATCGTGATCGAATACACAAGAAGGCAATTGGGACTTCCCGCAGATAAGTTGCCAGCGGTGTCTGCGATAGCTTCGAGCCTCATCCGTATGGCGAAGGAGCGAGATCAAAAGCTATTGTACCTTGCAGGACTTATGGTAGATACCTCAGATCCCGATCATTATGCTTGGCGGGCTCAACTCCTCTGGGTAGTAAGTCAGACGGAAGATACGCATCACGTTCCTGGTCGGGCACCGTCGTGGACTTGGTCTTCGGTGGATGGTCCTGTGAGGACATGGGACTGGCCCAAGCCGAACGACTGGTCAAGTAACGATGGGATACGACTACACGAGTACCGGGTGGAGCCCGAGGATGAAGTAGCACCATTCGGTGCTGTCAAAGGAGGTTATCTCAAGATAACTGCTAGAACCAGAGGTCTAGGTATGATGACGGACTTCAATTACGCGGTTTCAACAAATCGGGATTCCCCCAACCGGTCCGTAGAGGCCGGGAAAAGCTTGCTCATATTGAGCCCAGACACCAAAGACAGGGAGCAGGTTGTT